GGCCCGGGCGCCGCGCAGCAGCGGAAGCCAGCGCTGGGCGGTGCGAGAGCGCGCCGCGGGAACGTGGCCAGCAGGTAGTGCGCGTAAGCCTGGTGGTCATGCACGAGCGCGTAGAGCAGGGCCTCCGACGGCGAGTAGGCGGTGGCACGCCCGCGCTCGTCCCAGTGGAAGGCCTCGCTGGCGCGCATGTCCTCCAGCAGCCATACGGGCAGCAGGTCGCGCACCGCCTGGTAGAAGGCGAACGATGACTTGCGGCACTGCTTTTGTGCCTGTGAGCGCGCTGCGCCCGCACCTTCAGGCCCGCCGTCTGCACCGCCCCCAGGCCGACGAGTGTCCCACGGCATGCTGGCAGCAAGGTGCTTTCTGGCCTCAAGGCATGGACCCAGGTTGGCAGACAGGCTGACTACCCTGTGGGGGAGAGAGGGTGTGTGAAAGGGCCCAGGTGAGGGGCAGGGCCGCACCTCAACCTGGGAGATGGAGTCTCACAGCAGTCGCTCACAGTCCCACTGGCCGTGCGCCCCCACCCGGGGGTCCCATACCCTCACCCACATCCAGTCTCAGCCGACCCCTCCAGTCACTCCCCATGGCCCAGAAACGCCCCCAGTGCCCTTGCTCTAGCTGCACCTGACCTCCCTCCCTGAGGTGGCTTGCTCTCTGGCACCTCTGCCACACACATCCTTCTCTGCCATGCCCTCAGATCCCCCTCCCCAGCCCAATGACCTGCAGAGAGCTCCTGCTCCCACCTGGGCCAGGTGCATCCAAACCCAAATTTTACAAGGACAGGGGTTGGGCAGGAACGCTGGTGCTGAACCAAAAGCTTTCTCTAGCCCAGGCTCCCTGCCTGGGTGCCCCAGCCTGTCCTCTCATCACTGACCATTGTGGGGACCCGGAGCCTCTTCCCACACAGGTCAGGAGCATGACCTCAGACCTACCTGGCTCCCGCACCACGACCACCCAGTTCACAAAGGTGGGTTTATCACTGTCCCCCGCTGAGCCATGGCTTCCTCATCTGTAAGAGAGGGGGAGGTGGACTCCATCCAGCTGGCTGTGCCCGGCGTGGCCAGTCCGGGGAGTGGCTCAGGCCCCTCATCCACAAGCATGCTTGGTGCTGTCAGCACCCAGCTCCTGAGAGGCAGCACCAAGTCAGCCTAGACCAGGGTGCACAACACAGCCGCTGCAGCTCCCTCCAGGCTGCTGCCTCTCCTGCTGTCCCCAACCACTGCAGGAAGCTGGCACTGCCATCCACTATCTGAGAGGACAAGCTTATCCGAGGTGGGCCAGCAAGTCATGGTGGAGCCAGGCCTAGAACCCAGGTCTCCTGCCTCCCATTTCAGGTTCGGTCCAGACGCTGTGGGACCCCCACCCACAGTGAGCCCAGCTTGAGCACTCACCCCGCCCACTGACTCCTGGCCTTGGCTCCAGCCCCTGCTGCCTTCTCTCAAGGGTAAGCCTTAGGGCATAGGGGAGGCCTGGGGCAGCAGACAGGCCCTGTCCACACACGCCGGTCACTAGCCCAGGCAAAAACTAAGTTGCGGAGTGCGGCGCCTCGGGCCACCCCGTGACTGGAGCTTCCCCGCCCAGGCCTCTGCTCCCCAGGTGCTCCCGGTGCGGACACGCGTGGAGCGCCGCCCGGTTATGTAAAGTTCGGCCGCCCCACGTCACTGGGCAGAGTCACCGCACGCTCAGTGACCGGGGGGGCTGGGCCATGGAGGGCAGCGCC